TGGCCTCTTCGTGAACGAAAATTGGTCTTAAAGACCTCTCATAATCAATTCTAGAACACGACCAAAGCCCTTTAGTGAACTATATGTACACGGTCGAGACCCCCTCATCCCCGGTCCAAAACCCCTCAGTGTAGTATAGAATACGGCCAAAGTCCCTCAGTAAACTAGAAGAAATATATAATCACGGGTACTTTTCTGATCGATCTCAAAATCATACCTCATATTCCAATTCACAATATACCGTATGCAATCTTTAAAATCCACATGTATCATTATAAAAGATATTTCCATAATAACCATATAATTTGGATACATAATTGTATATAATTGCACATACTTTAACAATATACTTAATTTATAAATACTTTAAAAATATTTATATTTTTCCACTCATAGTACTACGTTCGCAAAATTAACCCGGTTGGTAACCTATTCTAATGTCAATATCGTCGCATTAAATACGATATAATTTTTAAACAAACAATTAATTATTTTAAATAATTTCAATAATTAAATAGGCGATACCCAAACTTAATCATTTCACGTTTGGGTGATTTCTACAATCTCTTTAATAACGAAAACTAGTTTTTCTTTCATCTTACTCAATTTCATAGTTTATAATACTTAACCCCTTCAATAAAATTGAATTTAATCTAACAACTATAAAATCAAATATAACTTAACAATGAGTAATTTTTTATTTACCTTTAACTTCGAAGAATTTAAGCCTAATAGTAGAAGAACTTATTTCTAACACATTAGCGAGTTTTCCTCTCTTTTCTTTTCATTTTTTTTTTTTTTGGCCTTTTCCTTTTTCTCCTTCTTTTTTTTTTCCTCCCTGTTTCCGTTTCTCTCTGTGTGTTTTTTGTATGTGTAGGCAAATGGATTTGTTTGGCAATGGATTGATATAAAATAAATGCACCGCCTCACCTTTTTCGTTTGCCTTTTTTTTTTTTTTTTTAGTTTTCACTTTTCTTTTAATTAAACTAATGTTTTGTTTTTTGTCTTTTCTTTTAATTAAACTAATATATCACACCACTCCCACCCATTGCACAATCAACGCCACCATCTCTAGATAAAAAATCTAATTTACCCTAATACTTAAAACCCTAAATCCTAAATATACCATAACCTCTAGCACACCAATACCACATCACCACCTACACCATCACCATCCACACAAGAAATCTGGTCAGGAAAAACCCACCACATACAGCAAATCTGGTCGAAAAATAAGGTCAACCGAATGGTGTGCCGTCGGTAGATAGATGACGGGGCGAAAGAGAGAGGAGGTGGGGAGATAGAGAGAAGAGAGAGTGGAGATATGTGAAATGAAATTAGGGTACGAGGTAAAATGGGGTTGAGGTGAGGTGCAGCTGGGTGGGTGTATTTTAATTTAATTAATTAATTAATATATAACAGATGAATTATCATATGATTTTTGAAGGAAAAAACTCTAAGAGTGTGTTTGATTGGCATGAAAAATATTACCTAAAAAAGAAAATATTTTTCATCTTTTGTGGAAAATAAAAATCACCTCTATCCAAGAAAAATATTTTCCTTAAAAACAAAGAAAATTAGGTATATTTTCAAAAGTTGGAAAATGTTTTCCATGAAAAAAATAGCAATCGAACACTCCAAGTAGGAATTTGGGTGAAAAATTGATATTTTCCATGGAAAATAAATGTAATCAAACACACCCTAAATGTTAATTTTGAAATGTTTTCACCAAACACGTCCCTCCCTGTAATTTCCACTTTCTCAATATGCAACATAATTGTGGAGGTGCTTCGTGCTCCAACTACAAGCACGTTAGAATTTTATCATGGGCTGGATGAAAAGAGTTTTATGAATTTCTTTCTTTCCTTCAATTGAAATTTCTAGTGGGAACTGGAAATGGAATACAAGCATGTATGTTTGGTAGTGACATACACTAGTTGGCCTTCGAGAACTACACAAAATCATTTGATATATAGTACAACACTTGTCTTCCTCCTTTTTTTTTTTTTTTTTTCTTCTTTCAATGGATGGATGCTTATCATTTTCTTTAAATTTATTTGGTAAAGGTCAACTTGCAACGACCATTCCCTTAAAACTAAGCCCATGTTTGGATGTACTTAATGAAAAACTTTTAGGCTGTGGTTGGTTTGTTGTTTTCGGCCCATTTTTCATTTTCCGTTTTCGAAAACGCGGAAAACGCGTTTGGTCCGTCATTTTCGAAAACGCATTTTCGAAAACGAGTTAAAATTTATAACTGAAAACGCAAAACGACTCTTTATCGTTTTCAGTTATAAATGTCGAAAACGCTCAAAACGGGCCGTTTTTGGGGAAAATAAAAAATCGTTTTGAAAATGAAAACGGAAAATGAAAATGCAAACCAACCACTACTTTAATTTCTAGTTCTAATTTTCAACTACACATTTATATAATAAAATATAAGGACATTGGGCTAAATGATTTGAGAAGACAGATAATTAGAGATGTATTAAAAATTTCAACTTGATTAGATAAAAGTCTATTTTCCTACTTTTCTTGCCTTGATATTTTCCAACTTGTCCTTTAAGAATTAAAAACAAAATAATTTAATATGTAATAATCCATCCCGACTCCTCCACTTGCCTTTTATTCTATGACTTATTTAAATTATCTTAATATGGCCATTATTTTTCCTTTAAAGCGCCAACTTCATTAGGTTAAGGTCAATCTATCCAAGCAAACATGAATTATTATAATGTTATTAGTTGTGTAGTATTTGAGTTTCAAATATATACATTACATAAAAAGGCATACGCATTTTATGGCGAATTTTTTTTTACGATTCCTTTATAATTCTTGATTTGAGATTCCGGGTAGATCAAGAATTGACAAGGAGCATCTTTCATTTAAGAATGTCACATGCTTTCCATTCAAGTTAAGATTTCAAGTTGTAATATAAGTAAACTTTTCTATCAAATAAAGCAATAGTATTCTATTATTTTAATTAAGTTAATCTTAATGTGGACAACTATTATTGTTCGTTAAAATAAAATGAATTATTAGATTTATATTGAGCAAATATGTCTACCCAAACATGAATGATTAAAATATTAAGTGTGGAAATGGATTTGGTGGATCGACTTATTATTAAAAAAATAAAATTAGATAAATAAAAACATTTATAACAATAACATGTAAATTCCACGTATTTTATGATCTATATTATTTTTCATAGTTCTAAACAAACAGCTCGTAGATTAGTTAAAAATTATTTATATCTAACATTCACATAATGACAAACTCAAGGACAATGCATGTTCAATTTATATGTAATCAATGTCCATTACCAATCCGTCCAAGCTGTTTCACTTGGGAATACAACAAATTGTCTAATTAAAAAGTTAACTATGGAAGCGGAATTGGTGGATCAATTTATTATTCAAAATATGAATGATATTTTATTCGTATTCAGTCAATGAACGTGTAAAAATAATGAATAATGCTTCACTCTCATTAATCTCTCTCCCTCCTCTTATCTTTGCCTAGACCATCAATACTGGTTATATTTGTGAATACATCAGAATATACAGAAATGGCTCTCTCTTACGAAAATTTGTCATGTCTACTCACAAACCCAGATCTTCTTTCCCATCTGCAAAACTTAAAGCTTGATGGAAGAGAACAAATTGTTAGCTTTCAATGGCACGGGCCACATTTTTTAGCCTTTCTCCGCTATGCAACAAAGTTGTGCTTGTCCTCCAACTACAAGAATGAGAGATTCAATTTTCTCCATTATGCCATGAAATTTTGTTTGTGCTTCAACAAGAAGCACGGCAGATTCAATGATCTGTTGAAGCATCTTGATGATTCAGCCTCCGATTGCATCCGATATGGAGAGACTGAACATTACAAAATATTTTTAGAAAATCTTCTCTCTTTCTTGCCAGCGATTAGGGAGTTCTTCACAGTTCAAAAGCTGCTGCAGTTGTCTGATGCAACTCCCAACACAAATGAACTTTTGGCAAGCTTTATTGGCTTTCTCGTTGAAGCTATTGGAGAATTACTGAATTGTGGGCCAGATTCGAATTTTCTGGGGAGTCATCAAGTCGAATTTCTTTTGAAGGAGCTGGAATCTCTGCTCAGTTTTCTTGGGGATTCTGAGCCAGAAAAGAAAGACAATATATTGACAGAAATCGAAGGTATAGCCAACGAAGCTGGATTTTTCTTGCATTCGTTCTTTTTCACCGCCGACCTCGTTACAGCGACCAAAATGGATCTGGCACTTACTGCTCTGGTAGAAAGGATTGAGATTCTGCAAGTGAGAATCAAAGATCACTGCATTGCATTCTCAGAGGAGGTGAACTGCGGAAGTGGAAGCTTACAAGTTGCAGAAAATCCAAGGGACGTATCATCAGAAAGCGGACAAGATGCAGAAAGCCTACAAAGCATTTCCAAGATAAATGAGATTACTGTGGGCAACGAGGACAGTACAACAAAAATTCTACAAAAGCTTCTTCGAGGAACAAAAAACCGCCAGCTTATTTCCATAGTTGGGATGCCTGGACTAGGTAAGACAACATTAGCAAAGAAGATATACAATCATTCCAATGTTAAGGACCATTTTGATAAGCTTTCTTGGTGTGTTGTTTCTCAAACTTATAGAAAGAGAAAGCTGTTGATTGACATTTTGAGCTCCATAAGTAATCTTAACAGAGACATAATTTTGAAAATGGAAGATGGAGACATGGCCTTACATCTTCATCAAAGTTTAAGTGGTAGAAGATACCTCATTGTTATGGATGATATATGGGATATAGGTCCATGGAATGAGTTGGAAACGTATTTTCCAAATAACGAAAGCGGAAGCAGAATATTGTTCACCAGTCGGCAGAAAGATGTGGCAAAAGAAATTTCTGATGATATCGATATCGTTGAACCTCCTCCTCTGTCAAAAAATGAAAGTTGGAAATTATTAGAGCAGAATGTGTTCGAGAACGATCGTTGCCCTCAAGAGCTGCGAGATATAGGAAACCAAATTGCAGAAAATTGTAAGGGACTACCACTTCTATTAGTGGTGATAGCTTCAGTTCTTTCAAACATGGAGAAGACAATAAGCTCATGGCAACAAGTTGCAACAAGCATGAGTTCTTACATTTCCAAAAAGGCTGATGATTTTCTTTCCATATTGAAACTTAGTTACAACCATTTACCAATTCATTTGAAGCCATGTTTCCTCTACTTAACTGCATTCGAGGAAGATGCGGAAATTCCAGTGCGGAAGCTGTTATTACTATGGATAGCAGAAGGGTTTATAAAGAAAGAGGGGCAGAAGAACTTTGAAGACGTAGCAGAGGAGTATCTAACAGATCTAATTAATAGGAGCTTGCTGCAAATTGCTAGAAAAAGATCTGACAATGGAGTAAAATCATGTACCATTCACGATCTACTACTTGAAATGTGCTGGAAAGTAGCTGAAGAAGAAAATTTTCTGTTCCAACAGTAAGTTATCCAACTCTTTTGCTATCATCTTCTCGTTTTACTTTTCTTTTCAAATTTAGCCTACTATTACTAACTACGTGTGATAAATTTTGGTGATTGTCTCAATTTTGCTGCTGCTGCTGATTGATATGGTCAAATCGATGATGATCCAACATATTCCTCAGTCAATTCTTGGTGTCTAAGAATCTCTCTCGCTTGAAGGAGTCTCATTCTCTCGAGAACTCATCCATTCTTCACAACTCAGACAGCATTAGGATCTTGGAGTCGGCGAATGATCTAAGTAGTACAGAAACTATGACTGAGTTGAGGTACTTAGAATTGTCTTCAAAATTAACATCATCAATAGGCAGACTCCAAAACCTAGAATTTCTTCTTGTGGAAAGGAAAACTAATATACTCCCAAGATACCTTCTCAATTTGCCAAAGTTGAGACATCTACGTGTTGGAGGCCCGGCAAGATTCAGTAAGAATTGTGACAGCTCCCAAATAAATAACCTTCAAACCCTTTCTTTTGTTTGTATTTTTGATTCGAAAGATGAAGAAATCTTGAAATGTTCACCAAATCTTCGTAGCCTGAATTGCGCAATTTTACCTGATCAGTGTCCTGATCTCAGCTCGCTTTCTCAGCTCGAATCACTCAAAATAGTATTTTACGGTAGCTTCAATGATAATCACACCACATTTAACTTCCCCAGGAATATTAAAAAGCTCACTCTTTCTAAAATGGGTTTGCCTTGGGAAGAGATATCATTAATCGGGAAATTGACCAAACTTGAGATTCTGAAATTGGAAGATGAAGCCTTTGAAGGAGAAATTTGGAACACAGAGGATGATGAGTTTCAAGAACTCAAATTCCTAAAATTAGATGACCTAGATCTTGTACAGTGGAATTCCTCAAAAGATCACTTCCCCAAGCTTGAACAGTTGGTGTTGCGATATTGCCATAACTTGGAGATGATTCCTTTTGAATTTAGTGGAATTTCAACACTAGAGAAGATTGAGGTACATGCTTGTGGCATAAAGGTTGACAATTCAGCTACGGAAATACTTGAAGAACAAGTGGATTTAGGTTATGAACAGTTTGAGGTGATCATCTCTAAGGCAATTGTGGAGTAAAGAGAGCTTATGCTTCTACTGGTTCAACACAAGTAAGTTAAAGTTAATCTCATTTTTCCTTCTCTTAATGTATCTCCAAGAGTCTTTTTAAACATAAGATACTCTATATTAAAGAGCCAACTTTTAAAATCGTGTTTCAAGAAACTTTTTAAATTAATATTTTAATTTAGAAAATGAGTTCTACTCTCCAAAACCTACTTTATATTTTAAAGAGTCAACTTTTAAAATTATATTCCAAAAGACTCTTTAAATTAATATTTTAATTTAGAGAATGGGTCTGACCCTCCAAAACCTACTATCTATAATTAAATGCATTCAAAGTATTTCAATTTTTAATGAAGAAAGAATATAAAAATTTAGAGGAAGCCTAGTGAAAATAAAAGATACGGGAATTTTTTTTATTTTTTTATTATTATTTTTTATTTTTGTAGTAGTGAAATTAAGTATTAAATATAAAGAGTCTGTTGGAGTACTTAAAAAATTGAACTCTCTAAATTTATAGATGCAATCTAAATTGGAGAATGTGTTTTTTAAATAAGATGTCATACTTTCGTAAAAGAAAAAATCATTTATTATTTAATTGATTAATTAATTAATTAAATTTTTTTTTTTTTTTATTTCAGGAGATTCTTTGACATCCCATATGGGCGAAGATAAATAATTTTTTTCAACTTCGTCGCTTGTTCTTCTCTAATCAATTATTTTATTTGTAGTGAGCATGAAGTTGGGCGTTTTTTTCTTTCCTTTCTTTTTCTTGTCATGAGAGAAATTAAATAATGAACTCGACAAGTTGTTGGATCTGGATCTCAAGTTAGAATCTTTTGCCTTGTAATTTTCTTATATTTATATATTTATTTTCAAGTATTTTTCAAACCTTCAAGTATTTTACTTCTGAAACATACTCCAATCCATTGCTTCTAGTTCGATTTAGTGGGTTTATTAAGTTAGTTGGAATATGAATTTGCACCCATTGTTTAACATTTATTTGCCTCAAATTTTGATTAACGCCATGTCTTACGGTTTGACCTACGCCAGATAGGATTATCACAATCTAAAATTCTTTATCATCTAGTTCGTAATGAGAGAGGACTACTTTTTTTTAGAGTTCTTTTAATTGAGTTGTCTTACTTTTTTTAGTATTCTCTTTTTACTTACCATCCATTGCACATCAAGGAAAAAAAATGAAAAATAAAAAATAGAACTCGACTATTCAAGTATTCTAACTTAACTCGGAGCATTTCAAATGTAAATAATAATTGAGCACATATACAATATAATGTGTAACTTACATTGCCGATATGAATTGACAGACATCCAACATAACAGTAGGACTTGAACCTCTCAATTTGTGATTGTGATTTTGATCAAAGCTAGAAGAAGAAGTGAAGTGATATGTGCAGTAAAATGGATCTGCCGAATTTCTCTATTATCTTTCACAGCAAAATGTATTACAGACCAGAATATATACAAGACAAAGCCAATAAAAAGATGACAGCTCACCTAACAAACTAACAGAAAATAAAGAGAGGAAACACGTGAAAATGAACGTGAAAATGAAAAATAAAAGTCAACATCCCCCCCTCAAACTGGCAATTGGTGAAGGTCAGCCAATCCCAGCTTGGAAACTAAGTGGTGGAACTGAGGGGCTGCTAATGCTTTGGTGAATATGTCTACAACTTGCTGAGCTGAGGGAATGTGTTGAGGCAAAACGAATCCTTCCTTAAATTTATTTCTAACAATATAGTAATCAATCTCCAAGTGCTTAGTTCTTTCACGAAACACCGGGTTAGCACAAATATGTAGGGCGGATTTATTGTCACACCATAAAGGGATAGGTAAAGTATATCAATCGCAAAGTCTTTCAGTATATAATTGATCCATGTGACTTCACATACAGTTGTTGCCAAACTTCTGTATTCAGCTTCAGCTGTGGAATGAGAAACTGTGGTCTGTTTCTTGGTTTTCCACGAAATCAGTGTGTCTCCAAGATAGACACAAAAGCCAATGAGAGATCTTCTAGTATCACTGCAAGAAGCCCAATCAGCATCTGAGTATGCTATTAAGGTGAAATTCTGTTGTACAGGAAAATGGAGGCCAAGTGAAGGACATCCTTTTAAATATCGTAACAAATGAATTGCAGTATCGCAATGATTTTGACAGGGACTATGAACAAATTGACTCAACTGTTGTATGCCATATGTAATGTCCGGTCTGGTCAGGTTTAAGTATAGAAGTCTTCCAATCAATCTTCTATATCGTTCTGGATCTAGAAAAGGAAGACTGGAGTTTTGTGAAAGTTTTGTGCCCTTTGGAATTGGAACTGAAACTGATCTCGCACCAATGAGCCCAACATCTTTAATGATGTCTAAAATGTACTTTCTTTGGTTAACATATGTCCCCTTCTTTCCTCTAGCAATCTCAAGTCCTAGAAAATATTTTGCAGCTCCAATATCTTTGATGGTAAATTGAGAACGCAGATATTCCTTGACTGATATAATGTTAGATTCATGAGTTCCAGTGACTAAGACATCATCCACATAAATAAGGAGAAATAAACTGTGATTGGATGAATGCTTAAGAAATAAACAATGGTCGTGGTTGGATTGAACAAACCCATACTCAAAGAGCTTAAGACTGAGCTCAGTATTCCATTGTCTCGAGGCTTGCTTTAATCCATATAAACTTCTTCTAAGTCTACAGACTTTGTTTGCTGTTGCTGTGATGTATCCCGGAGGCGGCTGCATATATACCTCTTCATCAAGGTATCCATGTAAGAAAGCATTGTTGATATCAAGTTGATGGAGAGGCCAAGACCTGGTTGAGGCCATTGCAATAAAAATTCTGACTGTGACAAGCTTTGCAACAGGTGAGAAACAATCAAAAAAATCAATTCCTTCTAATTGATTGTAGCCTTTTGCCACCAATCTTGCCTTAAGCCTATCCACACTTCCATCTGGTTTTAGTTTAACTTTGTATAACCATTTACGTCCAATGACTTTCTTCCCTTGAGGTAAATCAGTGAGTTCCCCTATTTTATTTGATTCTAGTGCTCCCAACTCCTCATTCATAGCACGTATCCAACTTTCATCTTTACAGGCTTGATGATAAGAACTTGGTTCTTGAATTTTTGATACATTAGCCAGATATGTCACATATGTATGGTTTAATGCAGGTGAAGTTGTGTAAGGATATGTAGGTGGTGTGAATTTTGACATAATCTTTCTTTGGTTGAAAGAGGATTGATGATAAGCAGTTGGAACATTTGAATTTTCAGTTACATTGGTAACATAATCTTCCATCCATATTGGTCTGGCATTCTACCTGGTACTTTTTCTAAGGGTCTGAGGTTCAGAAGTTATATTTTCTGGAGATTCAGGAAAGGGAACTTGGTGGAGTGGAATATCGTTACGATAAGTGGAGGAAGAGTCAGCAGTGGTTTCATCAGATGATGTGTCTGTGGATGTGTTTTATAATGGCTCATCATTTTGATTATCACAAGGGGAAGCAGAGGGTGTTATAGTCAGATCATCATCATGAAATTCAAGGTATGGAACAACTGGATGTGATTTATCAGTGATAGAATTTTTGTCTGATTTGAAGGGAAAATAATTTTCATAAAATGTAATGTCTCTTGAAATTTGAACTTGTTTAGTAGATAGATTGTATACTTTGTAGGCCTTTTGTCCTGGGCTGTAGCCTATGAACACACATTTATAACCTGTTGGTTCAAATTTGTCTTTGTGAGGTTTGGTATTGGTTATGTAACAAAGGCATCCAAAGGTTTTCAGGGAAGAAAAATCTGGTTTAGTCTTGTTTAGGATCTCAAAACGAGTCTTCCAATTTAGCACTGAACTGGGAATTCTGTTTATAATGTGTGTGGCCATTAGTATAGAGTGTGACCAGAAGTATCGAGGTAAATGAGCTTGAAACATGAGGGATCTGGCCATTTGGAGTAAATGTCTATGTTTTCTTTCTACAACTCCATTTTGTTGTGGAGTGTAGACACATGATTTTTGGTGAAGAATTCCTAAAGTTTGGAGCAAGGTCTGACATTCATTTCCAGTAAATTCACTTCCATTGTCTGTTCTAATAGTCTTAACATCCTTTTTGAACTGATTTTTAATCATTTTGAAGAAGACTTCTAAGGTCTTAACAGTCTGGGATTTGTGCACAAGCATGAAGGTCCATGTGCCTCTACTGTAGTCATCTACAATGGTGAGCATAAAAGGTGTTCGAGTCAGGTTGTGTTGTCTATAGGGACCCCATATGTCAATGTGCAACAACTCAAAGGTGGTTTTTGAATGAATTTGTAAGTTTTGAAATGGAAGTCTGTTTTGTTTTGCTTTGTGACAAACATCACATGGTTCAACATTCTTAATGGCAGAATTATTGCAAAGTTGTTTAAGGAAGCTGAGATGTTGTAAGCATTGAAATGAAGCATGACCAAGTTTGATATGCCAATCAACAAGAGAAAAGGGAGAAGCCTTATCATTAAAAGGAATTTTATTTCCAGAATTCGAATTCTCAGTAGATAGAAGATTACAGATGTTTATTCTCCTACAACAATTTTCAACTCCATTATTCTGGAAACTATGGTCATCAAGTGTGTATAACTTTCCATTCAATTTTCCAACTGCCATCGTCCTATCACTCTTCAGGTCCTGCATCAGGCAATATGTAGGATGGAAGATAAATTTAATCTGTGCAGTTTGACAGAGTTTAGGGACTGATAGTAAATTAAGTTTAAAAGTAGGTACGTGAAGAACATCAGTTAAAGTGATTTTGTGGTTCATGGCAACGGTTCCAATGTGTTTGACAGCTTTGACAGAACCATCAGGTAGCAAAACGGAGGTAGGCTGTGTGACTGGTTTTAAGTTGGTCATTTGTGATGAATTTGTGCATATGTGATTGCTAGCACCAGTGTCAATAATCCAAGTACCATATTTCAGTTCATCAAGTGAAGTAAAAACAAAGTGTTAAGTGTGCGTACCAGAATAATCCTTGAGATGTGCAAAATTCACTTGATCTTCATTATCATTAAGCTTCTTTCCTTTCAGTATTTTCATCAGTTCTTGCTGAACAATGACAGCAATATCGAAAGAGGATGATGTATCCTTTGTAGTCACAGCAGCAAAATCATTATCAAAATCAAGTGGTGAATTATCTATTTTCATTACATTATTTGAAGCATTTCTCCAGCTAGGATCCTTTGGTTTTTGATCTTTTTTGTACCAATCCGGAAAGCCAATAATTCTGAAACATCCTTTGAATGTCCACTCATACCGCAGTGGTCACAGTACATCAGCTCCTTATCAAAATTGCCATATCTTCTGTTAATTCCCCTTCCTACAGCATGGTTTCCTCTACCAAAAGCAGATCTACCTGTCCAATTTCCTCTCCCAAATCCATTTCTTCCACGTCCATCATTCCTAGTATTAACTCCTCTAATCATCATCACAGTGTTATCATTGATTTCAGGATACAACATATGCACTTCTCTTTGTTTTTCCACTCTTAGAACCATAGAATAGGCTCTATTCACTGAGGGTAAAGGCTCCATCACAAGAACTTGATTTCTGACATTGTCGTATGTATCATTTAGCCCCATCAAAAATTGCATAAGTTTGTTGAAAGAAGCTGAATCAGAGACTTCCTTCGCAGCTTCACATGTATAGACCGGTGATGGCATAAGACATGCTATTTCATCCCATAATTTTTTAAGATTGGTGAAATATTTCTCCACCGTCATTGATCCTTGTGTCATACTACTAATCTCTCTCTGCAACTGGTAAAGTAATGGCCCATTGCATTCACCATATCTCTCGTTTAATTCATCCCATAAATCCTTGGCTGATGTCGTGAAAATAAATGCC